ATGGATGGACTCCTAGCAGCACGCTCCCGACCCAGAAGGCGTCTGGACCAGCGAGTCTCACTTTCTTGGGGGCGTCAGTTTCTGGGACAATCAAAGAAACCGGGCCTTGAAAAGGAAGCAAGTGACAGCCATTCCGCACCCAGGAGCCTATAGTTCTGTGAGCCCTCCAGGCTCTAGCACAAGGCCCTTGGGACACCCCACCCCACCTCCCCGCCCCAGGAGCTAGTTGGAGTGGCCCGAAGACTCACCTTTTCCAATGCATAAATGATGATCTTCTAATAGTAAACATAAATTCACCAAAGCAAAGACTTTAACGTGCCGGCTCCAGGACTGGGCTTGTAAGGAGGGCAGAGCACAGGCTGATCAGGGAGGATTCCTGGGTCATCCTCTCGCTTTATTCTCCGCCTCAATTCTCCCCCCTGCCCCCCACCGCCCGCCATACCCCCGCTCCACCTGTCAACCCCCTACACTAGGTCGGCCCTTGGGCCCACCCTCTGTCCCTGTCCCAGACCCAGCTGCCCCTGGCCGGTAGGCAAGTTTCCGGCGCTGACACCCGTCCCCACCCCCACCGGGGCACAGCTGCGGAAAACGGCCCCAGGCGGCCTCTGGGGACCCGGAGCCTGCGGTGTGCACGGGGATGGGGTGGCGGCGTTATCTCTCCTTTGTCTGGAACCCCGCCTGTCCGGATCTTCACCCACCCCCCACCCCGGCCTTGGTGCAGGAAGAGAGGGACCGTGATGGATTAGGGTTCCAGCACTCGCTTCACCCGGTGTCGCCCAGTGGGTCGGATGCGACTAGGCTTCAGAGCTCCAGCCCAGACTCAGCGTGGCCCTCCGCACACCTACTGCAGACCGGCAGTGCGGGAGGATTGTGGGACAGAGCGGTGACCACTCCCCGCCCCCCTCCCCACCCCCAGCCTCGCTGGTGGAGCTCGGGCCTACAAACCCCCATTCTAGAGCTAAAAGGGCCCCGAGGCTGTGCTTTCGCGATGTAGCCTGGGCGGAACCTGAGGCCCAGAGGCGGGATGCGACTTGTCCAAAGTCACACAGCAAGTCTGGGGTAGAAGAAAGGCTGTGGGCCGGAAACCTCTGTCTCAAAAGCGCCTCTCCAGAGCCACTCTCAGAATGGCGGAGTGGGCGGGGAGGCGGATGCTGGAATATGCTGCACAGGCCGGTTTTCCTCCTGACACCTGTGTGGCTTGGATAAAAATTCCCGGGGCACTCCCGAACGGTAGTAGCTCGGATTCCCCATTTCACCCAGTAGGTTACGCTTCGGGACAGTGTGTCGCCAGCCTCCCCTGTGTACCGAGAACAGCCCCTCCCACAACTTGTGTGGGCAGAGGGAGTTTCCCTCAAGGTAGGGGTTGTTCACCACCACCCCGGAGCTGGTCGACTCCAGGGAAGTTCCACCCCAAAAGAGCGACCAGACCCGGTGTCGTAGCTACCTCACCCAGCCAGTAAAGGCTACCCAGCGGCGGCCCAGAGAGGTTCCAGACTAGCTGGAGATTGCACAGCGATTACATGGCGAGGCCGAGCTACTGCGTCTTAGGCCCGCCTCTGAGCCGCGGTTTGGGTTCGGGAGAGGGAGACTAGCCCGGAGCCGGTCTCGCTGCTGCCATGCTCGCCGCGGGGCCTCGCTGTGCGCAACAGGAGCGTGGTTTCTTTCTCCCAGTGGCAGGGCTTTGGGCCGGGCCCCTGTGCTAGGCGCTGGGGGCCCGGAAAGGAAACCATCCGGGAAGAACCTCAGTGTTAGCCGGTGGGCCTTTGGAAGTTTTGATTCTGAAAGACAGCCCATTGAGGATAATGTCTGAGAAGCCAAAACACTTTCTGAGAGCGTCCGCCTGTGTCTTCAGCCCGGGACCTCGCTCCATTCGGGACACACCTCCTCCTGGCCTGCCCTACCTCGCCACCCAACGCACAGCCTCGCCGGGATGTTGGGGCAGCCATAGTGCCTTGCCGGCCTGCGATCGACTCCCACAGCCCAAGACCAGCCCAAATTCCCTGCTCTTGTTCCTGAAAAGAGAGACCAATAGGGCTCAGGATGGTCGCTCACTTTGGGAAAGACCAGAGATGCCGCGATCATCCTGTCCTAACCCAATGGGCTCTCTAATCCTCACTTCAAAAAAAAAAAGTATCAGAAGTAAAGCAGTTGACCCAAGATTCACAGCAAGTTGGGGGCCTGGGTCAGGAGTCTGCTCCACCCAGCCCAGGTCTGTTGGCAAGAGTTGCTGAAGGAAGTGAGGGGAAAGGAGAATTTAACGAAGTTTTTCGGGAACCGTGTAAATCGGCTCCATCGGGGTCTGTTATCATTACAGCATGCCCTGCAGGCCAGGGCACTGGGACTAACTCTCTCCCAAAGACTTAAGAGGGGCAGCCCCTTCTCCTAGGGCCCCTGCTTCCCCATGTGTCTCTAACGCAGAGACTTACCCCTGAGATGCAGTTCTCAAGGCTCTGTGAGATGAAGTTTCATGGATAGGGGATTGTCTCTCCCATTCCATCCGGGGCTCATGCTAGACCTGTAAGACTGTGTGCCAGTGCCTAGTGGGAGCATGTTCAACCTGTCCGGGTCTCCCTGGCCTATGGACTCGAGGGTTCCCACAGCAGGGAGACACTACTAATTGCCCGTAGTAGGTTTTTCCCAAGGGGACCTATTGGAGAAAGGGAGAAATGTGTCTCTTCTCCCAGCAGGAATAAGAGGTGTAAGAGCAGGGAGGTCATTTTCCATTCCTGTTCCCTCCATAACTTCTGCTCTCAGTTCTCTGGCAGGTCCCTGGTCCTCTCACCCTCTGTTTCCTTTTCCCACAACGCAAAAGACATCAGAGAAGATCTTTAAGTGGCTCCCTGCTTAATGCAAACCTGGCCTGATCTCACTGTGTGGATAGGGAAACTGAGGTTGGTAGAAGGCATGGAATATGGTTCTGAAGGAAAAAAATAGAGGTCTATCAACCCATGAAAGGCCTAGAAGTTGTGAGAGAGAAGAAACCCTCACAGAAGCCAGACCTGGACCACAGTTTTGGAACCAGCCCGGACAGCTTCTCAGCCTCCTCCTCTTCTTCTGCCTTGGCCCAGGCTAATGAAACAGGCAGAAGTGCAATGTCACCCGAACTGTCATCCCTTCCCAGGCAGGCAGCCCTTATCCCAACCCAGTGGTGAGGAGGGGGCGTGGCTCTCTAGATTTTAAGCTTAGACCAACCTAGGACTCCCCTACCCCACCCCAAACCCCACCCAGTCCAGCTGTGCTGAGGAATGAAATGCTTTATTGATTAAACGATTACTCAGGCGATTGAACTAATCAAAGAGCCCATCGACCGCCATGAATAACATTCTTCATAGACAGCTTGGGGGGGGAGTGGAAGGCAGCACCGAGGACTGCACGGCCCCTCTCCCCGGCCCTCACATGCCTCCAAACTCTTCCTAACATAAGCACAGCCCCTAGTCCCAGGTGCAGGCCCTTCTGGGAGTCCCACCTACTGAGGTGTCCACCACTGGGGAAAAGAAGGGCCTCCTGGAACTGGGGGAGGAGAAGAGGGAACTTTCAGGTTCCTTTTTTTTGTGAGCCCTCATCCCAGAAATGCTCTTCTGGCTCCCTGCCTCTCCAGGTACCATTTCAGAACCACATCTATGCCCCAGGAGTTGTCCTAGATTGGAATCTAAGTTTGTCTTTTCTGCTCTTCACCCATATTTGGGCGTGGGGGAATCACAGATGCCATGTGAGTGGGTGAGGGAGACTTCTTGCCAGGACCAGAAGTGTGTCTGTATGAGGGTCACAGCGGCCTAGTGAGTAAAGAGGCCCCACACCTGACTTATGCCTTAAGGCAGATGAAGACCCACTGCCCTTGCTGCCTCCTCTCGGATACAAACACACCCTGCTCCCCACTTCCCGGGCCTGTGGGAGGCACCCCAGACGGTATGCCAGGAAGGCCTGTGTGCATACAGGCACCAGAGCTGAATGCCCAAACTAGGCACACATGTCCACCCACTTGTGCTCTCCTCCACTGGAGCAGCACCCACAGTATAAAACCTGAGGGCACAGTGACACACACACACATCCACACACACACCAAACTCAGAGATTTGTCTAGGAGAAAACAAAGGTAGACTGGGGGTCCCTAGACATGTCACGACTAGTCTGTAGGTGTGTTCACTCTCACCTACAAGATGGTGTCTATCATGGGAGAGCCTTTTAAAGTGCCTACAGAGCGAGGTGGTGCACACTGCACACTGAGAGGCTGCACACCCTAAATTCACACCTTCAATCCTGCTTCCATCTCCCAGCAGAATGGAGCCTCAGCCTGACTGTGCACATGCTTAGTACCACAGACCTCCTTAGGCCCCAGACCCATGTCTGTGCCTAGAGGCAAGCACTTTTGTGTACGCGGTGGACTGCTGTTGACATCCAAATATGGAGACATCGGTGTAACCACCACTTTCTTACTTCCACAATCACTTGGGATGTGACAGATGAACGCAGACCCTTAAAACAGTAGATGTCCACTCAGATACTTATTTCAGTTAAGTAAATGACACTCATAGTAGGCACACATTTTTGGATACTCAAAAGAACATACATATGAATACTATCTCATAAACGCAAACTGATAGACTCATGGGTAGAAACATACACACACACTCAGGAACACAAACTTTTGGACACAAATGCAGACAGTTTGTAAATACATGCACAGGGACTCACAAACTCATTTGTCACTCAGGCACACATTGAGCTCCCTATGTAAACACACAGACCCAAACTTGCAGACCTCCAAATAGACACCAGCATACATGTTCAAAAACAGAAAAGAGCACAAGCAAACTCGCAGACTCTTTGGGCTAACACAGAAGTGTGTGAACAGATAGGTGGAAAGACACACAGACATGCTGCAGACAGTCAATCTTGGCAAAAATGCGGCGCACCCCCTCCTCCAGGGTCGTCCTGTGTGGGGACCAGGGCCTGGCTGTGTCCCAGAGGTAACACGTCTGGAACCCGTATCGCGGTCCTACCTGTCCTGCTGGTCCGAGGAGTCGGGTAATTTTTCTCTAAATCCATTTTGATTTTTCTGGACTTGAAGGAATGAATGGACAGGGAAAAAAAAGTTTCCACTTTTTTGTGCCTTTTTTTTTTTTTTTTTTTTGGTGCCAGGGGCCGCTCACAGGTCGGAATAATTCAAGCCTTCCGCTCCCCCGCCGAGCTGGGGTAGCTGATCACTGAGCTGAAACTAAACGTTTTAGGTGGAAAAAAAGCGTCCGAAGGCACCGTGAAATGATTAAGGAACTAAAGAGCTTCTCGCCATGTGAGATCATGTCCTGTTCTCGCCAACATCACAAGATGTCCCCAGACGCGCCGCGCCCCCAGCGCGCCGCCCCGCACTGCCAGCCCGGAGCAGGGAAAGGGTGTCCGCGCGGCGCAGCCGGGCCTGATCAGGGCGCCCGACGTGGCGGACCGGGCCGGGCCGGGCCGGAGCAGAGCGGGAGGCCGGGAGAGCAGCAGTGCGGCTGCCGCGCCGCCCCCGACTTTTATAGGGGGTGGGG